CGGGTGCAGGCCATCGAGCACGGCTACCTCAGCCCTGCCGCCGCACTTCCCGCGCCGGGATTACCACGAAAGCCTAGCGCGGGGATTTCCCCGCGGGCCGAACTCATAACAAAATCCCCGTGCGATAATCTCGAGGACGCGCGCGCCGCCGCCTTTTGGCAGATGCGCCGAGAGGCCGAGCAAAACCGCCGTCGCATGCTCGGGCTGGATAGAAATAACTTACCGTCTAATGTTAATCCAAATCCAAGTCCAAATATCTTTATCAATCTCAATCATAACGATAATAATGGAAATCCTCATAACCAGCGGCGTAGTGACATTAGCAGCCCAAATGGGGTAAGGCGGAATAAGAAAGGGGCGGGGAATTCGGAGAGACCGCTCCCCCCTGCCCTGGTAGACATTGGTGAACGAAATCATAAGGGGCATCTCTCCCCAAACATTGCCTCGCCATTTCAGAATAAGGGGTATGCTTCCCCAAATGTAATCTCGCCGCAGAAAAATAAAGCACTTAAATCGCCAAACGTCGTGTCTGTGGGGAAAGAACCATCGCCGCCGACGCCGCCGTGGTTGGCGTCGGTGGATCCCACCTACGCGGCATCTTCCCTCGTAGTGGCTTCTCACGTGGAAGCCAAAAAAGACTTGGTTGCCTTTGTTAACAACAGAAACGCCGACGGCGATCAGGATCGCGCACAGAGGGAAAAGCACCGCAATGAGGATTACGGTGCTCTTGATACTGTCATCTCGAACGCGTTAACGAAGGATAAGAAGGTCGTTCAACAGGAGATGCAAGATTTTGACGATGACGCCACGAACAACCCGGACTTGATGCGATTTATGCTGGAAGGGAAAACGCTCAAGCTACCACTTGTACAAGATTCCGACCCTCTGATATGCCGTATTGAGGGGTTGCGGGTTTACCTTGAAGAAAATCTAGGGGATAGGATTTTATTGACATGCTATAACGCGATGAACCGCCTCGACGATGAGGATAATGCGATGCAGCGCATCCTGGAGTCTTTACCTCAGGAAAAGCAGCGGTATCTTCCCTTGATCGCGCAACTTATTGTTTGTGAGGATGCGTTTAATCAACAAGGACAAATACCATTGAAGTGACAAAAATAAATGGAAAAATGTGTGTATCAGGAAGTTCCTGAATAAAACAAAATAAATAAAAGCTGCTAAACAAGGTGGCTGACAGTGCAAAATTGCCAGAGGTTATTCTTATTATATTATTAGTCATTTTTCTTATAATAGCCACATTGCATCTATTTTTGGCCAATCTTTATTATTCTTTCCAATATCGGTTCCCATTGAACGTGACACTTGAGGGACCAGATGGACCGCATGTGTTATATTTAAAACATATTATGGAAATATGCCTTCCCTTAAAGAAATGGCGTCTCGAAAGTACTCAAATTTATATGAAGTGGCGCACATAATTCTTGTTCTGTTCACTAGAAAAAAAAGAGCAAAATTTCATATAAGCACAATCATACAGCAAAATTCTACAGCACAGAATCATACGTGAACTTTCTTTTCAATATCCTACGGCATAATAATTAAGATCTAATGGAGTTTACGCACAACTCGATTAGATGCACACTCTCATAAGGAGAGGTACAAGGACAAGAGTTAAAATATTACCACAACTAAAAGAGTAATAGTTATTGTTAGCCATGCTAATGTATGTCTAGTTCTCTTATTGATTTTATTCTGATGCTACTGTTCAAACCGAAGAGAAATAAAGCAAATCTTTAAAGGTTATTAAAAAGGAGGGAAATTGTCTTTTACTCATTTTTCTAGGATTCATTGCACGTGCATTCTATTATTACATTGGTTGGTATATATATTTTTTCCCCTATATGCACGTAGCTATTCATTATGTTTATTACTTTATCGATATGCTAGTTTGTCATTTTCATTCCTAGTAAAGTGTCGTTATGTACTCCTTGGGACAGTTAATGTCAAACACGAATAGTTCAATTCTTTGTCCATCCTAGGACATAACTTTTTCCCCCTGAACTGATTATGTGATTCGTTCTTTTTGTCTAAAAGACCACAAAAAGAGGAAAAGGGAAATAGTACCATTAAGTATATACTTCACCGGAATACGCCGCTGAGTGCGTGAATAGAAAACCGTTGATGAGTAAATATACCCGTTTGTTTAACGAAAACTCAGCCCCGGAATCAGTGCAGCCATCCAATGTCCTCATTTCCTCCACCCACGCCCCCCTCTCCGAGAAGGCGGCGGTCCCAAAAGAGGATGAATGCCCCGGAAGGCAAAAAGCATCCCGACGGCTCGTCCGTCGACGTGGCTTGTACAGCAACGCCGCACAGACGACACCCGACAGTATGGAAATGCGCCCCTCGTGGGGCATAACCCCGAGCAATCCTGCAGATTTGGATCCGGCGCCGGAGGTACACCCCGCGGAACGCGTCAACCCCGACAAGTTCCCGGAAGACAACGCCGGGCCTCCTAGCAACGATGGGGATGAGAACGATGCTCTGCACAGTGATAAGGAGGATACCCTGCACAGTGATAAGGAGGATGCCCTGCACAGTGATAAGGAGGATACCCTGCACAGTGATAAGGAGGATACCCTGCACAGTGATAAGGAGGATACCCTGCACAGTGATAAGGAGGATACCCTGCACAGTGATAAGGAGGATACCCTGCACAGTGAGGACGATGACACAGATGTAACGATAACCCGGCTCTTCTCCTGTGACATCTGCCCGCACTTCGTCTGTGCCTCACAAAGGGCCTTGGAGGCCCACGCCCTGGCACTGCACGGCGACTGTCTCCGAGACTACACGACCCTCCAGCCTCTGGTCGCGAAGCTCGCGGGGCTGTGGGGGGAGGTCCTCACGCGAAAGGCCGAGCGCGTCGGGGGGTGGGGCCGGAAGGTCTTCGACATCGCGCGGGAGCGGGACGCGGGGCCGGAGAAGATGGCCGAGGCCGAGCGCGCGCGAGTGCAACTCGAGAAGGTCATCCGCTCCTGGCATCCGAGCGCGGAGGTCTTTATTTTCGGCAGCTCCGTTGCTTTTGCGGTGTGGGATGGGGTGTCGGATATCGACTTCACAGTCATCGAGGTGAATGCGCTCGAGGAGGGGACTTGGCCGCCGCCGGAAAAAAACGCTGTTCGAGCCATTACAGAGCTGCTTCGTAAGGCGGGGTTTTCGTACAGCAATTTGGAGCCTATTCGACATGCACGAGTGCCAATTATTAAGCATCACGCTTCTACCCCGATTCGTGTTCCACGCGAATCCGCAGCGAAAGGAACCCATTCAGGGGAAGGGACGACGGAAGGTAGCGAGTGCAGCTCTTTGGAGGCTGAGGATATCATCTCGCGGAGTGTGCGCTGCTCGCTCACGCAGCCCGCATCGCATGCAGATCGGGCAATGCTGGAAGGCAGCATCCGCTCCGGGATCGGAGCGGAAGCGGTCCAGCAAATTTGGTGGAATCGAACAAGCGATATGATGTGCTTTACCTGCGATACGACGACGCACGCCATACAAGCGGTGATGTGCAAGTTGACTTTTACTTCGCCATCCTTGCGTGCTTGTGTGCAACCTCTTCATGACGAATCCCGCCCTGAGCTGTACAACGTCGACTTTGATTTGAGCTTTCGGGCGTTGGGGATTCGCAATTCGGAGCTGCTTCGGCGATATCTTCTGAACCACCCCTGCGCGCGCCCGGGGGCGATCGTCTTGAAGGACTGGTCGAAAACCAGCGGTGTAAACAACTCGGTGAATGGCTATTTGACGAGTTATGCGATTAACATCATGTGGATCTACTTCCTCGTGCAGAAAGGTGTGGTGAAGTATGTGGATCCGATTGCGGATATTCCTGAATCTCTGAGGAGCTATCATGAAGAATTGACAAAAAGCCCGCGCTATCGCCCAATGCTCGATCCCGCCTGGAGTGCGGAGGAAAAGCTCACCTACGAACAGGAGGCCGGACGGTTGCTGATGGAATTCTTCCTTTACTACGCCTATGAGTTTGACTGGGAAAATAACGTCGTCTCGCTGAATCGAAAAGGGATCACGACCAAGCGAATGCTCGATTGGGATTCCGAGGCTATCGCTCCTCCCATGGCAACCACAGGGCATCCCAACGGGCGTCGAGGCGGCAACCCAACGCGCTATTCCTTCTGTATTGAGGACCCTTACGAGGAGAATCTCAACCTTGGACGGCATATGGGCATCACGAAGAGCCTTCGCGTGCGCACGGAGTTCTGCCGTGCGCTGCTTTCGCTGTGCAAGGACGGGGCGAACGAGTCCTGCGTGTTCGCGTCGACCGATCGCCGCGCCGCGGGGGGGAAGACGAATACCGCCTCGCTCCTCGCGGGGCCGGCGGGGGGGCTGCCGATGAGGGTTTTATATCGCCTGATGGCGGTCTGCACGCGGGAGATGGCGCTCGCACGAGAGCAGGAGGCCTCGAACGGGCTGGCGGAGGAGGATCTCCGACGGGCCTTTGAGTCCGCCGCCCCGAACGAGTTCCAGCTCGCGTGCAAGGCGTGGAATTGGCAGCAGTTGATTCATCGGCTGGGGTGGAAACTCCACCGCGGCGTCGTCCTCCCGCGGCGGGAAATCGGCATCAAACGCCGCCCAACCTCGCCCATCGGGGAGGAGGCCGCGTCTTCAAAGGAGAACTCCGCGGGGAGCCTCGCGAACGTGATAGCGGACACCCTTTCGGACGATTTTCTTCGCCTGAGGCCGGGGTGGGTGGCGTGGTCGACGCCGTGGGCGGCCCTTCACCTCGCGAGGAAATCCCCAATCGGAAGCTACACCGCGGAATCCACAGAAAAGGAAGATGCGGAGGAGGAGAAGACAACGACAAACCCCACGTCCGGAAATAATTTCGCGGTGAAAGGGCAAGCGATTGGCGTCGGTGGAGACGGAAGCACCGGGCTGCTAAAGGGGACCCGCCCCCATGCCGCGAGATGGGAACCAGCGACTTCTTTGGCGCTCCCACCCTTGACGTTGGCTTTTTACCTCAAAAAGGGATTCAAGATGGCAAGACTAATCCGAGGACTTCTCAGATAAATAGTGGTGAAAAAAAAAAAGAACAACCTGTTAAAACTCATAAAACAAGAATTTATGATTTGGCCTGGTATTCGATGCGAACTGCTCCTACCACAGGAGAAGGGGAGTAAAACAGAAAGGATACAATTTCAATATAATTCCACATTTACAGAAGTAAGCAAAGATATTCGCTTCTTTCTAATAGCATTAATGTGGTTAAGATGGTGCAAAATATGATCATTCTTTTTTTTGTCCAACCATTATGCTTCATATATTGCTCTCTCTCTCTCTCTCACACACACACAAACACATGCCAAAAGCAATTGAATGCACACCTCTCTGTTCAGATTTTTCTTTGCTTTCCAATATTCTAAACAGGGAGGGAAAAGACATACCTGTGTTAGCAAAAGGAAACCAAACCCCACAAATTTTCCTTTAGTACACATAACGCGCAAGTGAATACGTTATTAATCGCCGTCGAGCATCGCTAAACCCACATCGATCCCTATTGGATCATTTAGACTCCGCAGCTTTATCTGAGGATGCGAGTTAGTGGTTGCCTTCACGCATACCACTACATCCACCCCAAAAGCGGCCGCCCGATCCGCCAGTTCCGCAAGTACGGCGATCCTCGTTATATCAACAACGAAGTCTCTCTCATTCACGGCCTTTTTGGGCTCATTACGACGGACTTTGGCATGGTCACGCACTCCCAGCTGGAAAATGCACGGCTGGCGATTTTACGCCGGATGCCGCGTGGGGCCTTTGCGCTGACGATGCACACCGATTATGAGGAATTTCCCGTCGTGAAGAAGAGCCCGGAGTCGCGTATGGGGGCGGGAAAGAGTAATATTCATCATTTCGCGTACAAATTCACAACGGGGATTCTGCTTTTTGAGATCATGCCGCTTTCATCCCGGCGGCTTAATCAGGCCGAGGCGGAGGGGATCTTTCTTGGAGGGCGGTCGTTTATTCCGCTCCAGACGGCGGTCGTACCCCGCGGACGCGTTGATGAGTACACCGTATTTAAATAACCATACAAATTCTTGAATTCCGTAGTGGGGGTGTTTTTGCTTCGCCTTTGCGGTGAATATTTTTTTTCTTGTTGATTCAGATAGGGTAATCGACTATCAATTGATTTTGGATGAATCTTGCGAATACTTCAAAAAAGAAAAAGGTTTACTAGTTCGCTCTTGAGATGAAAGATAGAAATAGAAGCTTTCCTGATGTATGTAGGGCGAGGTATTGTCCGTTTCTGTCCACATGTGTTTATCTTCTCCGTTGCAGTAGATTTTGTTTTGTATATGTGTGTGTGTGTGTGTAGATAAGTGTACGAATATTTTTAAAAAAATTAATTGTAGTAAACCCAAAATAATAAAAGAAGAGAAGAAGATATATATATATATATATATATATAAGTATGAATAACGATACTAACCACGAAATAAAAGGTCTTCCCGAGGACGACATGGTCGATCTCACGAGCTTCGCCCGGACGGCGAGCGATCGCGCGGTCTCGATGACCCTCGTCGCGATCTTCAACGAAGACTCGAAGACCCCTCGGGTGTTGGCGGACTCCGAGGACTATCTTGCGTACACCCTGAAAAACGGCCGAACGGTGCGTTTGGTGGCGCGCAGCAATAACATGAAAGGCAGCCTTCGGGCCCACGAGAAGCCGATCCACGCCCTCCAATTCGTGAATTACCGCAGCAATGTCGCGGCGTCGGCCTCGGCGAGCGAATTTTTCGTCTGGGTCGTGACCAACGACAACGCGGCCGGGGCGGACCCCACCACCAGCCCTCTGACCGTGCGGCTCTACTTTACCCTTCGGGACGAGCGGACGATTTGTCGGTTTTGCTTTTTTATCAACCTCGCGGTGGGGACGCCGGACTTGTTGGTGCTGTACGATCGGAAAGTCGCGGTGTTGGAGAGCTCGCGGTTGATTCGCGAGTGCACGTCGGCCCCGGTGGAGGCGAGTTTGGCGAAGGACAGCCGCGAGCTGCGGGAGTTGACGGCGGCGGTGGGGCCGGGGACGTTGTGCGGGGTGAACAACGCGGGGTGGTTCGCCTTCACGACGGAGGCGACCCTCGTGGTGGCCTGCACCCTGCGCAATCGCGGGACCCCGGCCTGGCCCGCCTGCGAGGAGGCCGCGATCAAAGGCCTGGAGCTGCTCGACGCCCCGGGGCCGGAGGGGCCGGCGATGCTTTTCGCCGCCTCGGACTCGACCGTCTTTCAATGGCGGCTGACGGGGCAGTCGGCGCCGGTGCGGCTGCGGCGGCTGCGCTTTGGCCGCGGCCTCGTCGCCCTGCTGAGCGCCAAAAACACCCTCGCGATTTTTAATCGCGACCACCAACTCGCCCTCGTGGAAGGGAAGGAAAAGGATGGAAAGGAGGAGTTGGCGGCGACGATTTACCCCATTCGCGCCGAGGTTAAGCCCGGCAGTGTGTGCTTTAGCCGGCTCGCCCGATACGGCTGCGTCCTGGTTGACGCCCACTCGCAGATCGAGATGTACCAATTCGCCCTGGAGCCGGCCGGCGAGAAGGAGCGAGGGGGGAATTCCATCCCCATCCCCATCCCCACCCCCACCCCCCTCAGCGATCCTGCGATTTTGTCGGTCACCTCCAAGGGCGCCGTGGCGTCGCCGCCGACGCGGGCGGGGCTGAGCGGCAAGAGCGCGAGCCCCGGATCGGTGATTCTGAACAACCTCATGCAGCAAGTCCAGCGCGGCAACCTCCGCATCGCGCAGAAGACCCCCGAGACCGCGAACGGCGACTCCGGCCTGAAGAAGTCCCCCCCCCGGAAGGAGTCGCCGGCGACGACGGAGCCCGCGGCCAAGCGCGCGGCGGGGACGGCCGACAAGGGCGCGCGGGCCCTCCTGCAGAACACGGCGCTGCCGAAGCCCATCAACGGCCCCCTCGCCGCCGCGTTGTACGAGAGCGAGGAGACGGTCCGCCGCGAGGTGGACGGGCTGTCGAGCTCGTGCAAGAACATCAACGAAATCCTCCGGCTCTCGCCCGACCAGCTCGCGCGGGACCACGAGCAGCTCCTGAGCCTGGCCCTCGAGGCCCAGATGACGGCCCTGCAGAACGTCGGCGCCACCCTCGCGAGCCCGGACCGCGGCGGCGAGGCCGAGGCCTTCAACTCCCTCGCGATCATGAAGTTGATCCGGCCGATCGCGCAGGATATCGCGAAAGGCGTCACCCACGGCATCCGCGATACCCTGCGGGGGGAGTTGGACGACGCCCTCCGCTCGACCCTCAGCAAGAGCCTCCGGGAGAGCCAACTGGCGGCGGCGAAGAAGCGAATCGACCACACCCTCAACGAGTGCTGCGCGTTCTTTTCGAGCGAGGTCCAGCAGCGCCTGCAGCTCTTCGCCGAGCGCGAGCTCGGCGACGTCTTCGCCAAGATCAACACCTCGATGGGGGAGTTGACGGAGGCGAACCAGTCCCTGCGGGAGGCGTTGAAGGAGATCATGAACACCAACGCCGCGGGCGAGATTTGCGCGCTTCGCGAGGAGCTCAGCGAGCTCAAATCCACCCTCCGCGCGCGTGGGGTGAACTCCGTGGCCACGGACGGCATTCTTCCCGAGGGGCGTTCCTCTCCAGAGGCCATTTTTGTCATCGTTCGCGGCCTGATTGACCAAGGAAAGCCCTCCGACGCCTTGGAGTATTTGCTGATGGCTAAACAACCCTTGTGTATTCTTCGTTTTCTCTCCCAGGTGGAGGATCAGGTCTATTCCGCCATTATCGCGGACCCGAAGATCGCGGGGAGCGTCTGGACGGGGTTGATCTTGCAAATTTGTAAGCCGGAGGTTTCGGATAGCATTGAGGATACCGAGTATGCCGCGGAGCTTATACTCGATATCTTATCCGAACACAGCGACATCCTGAAGAGCCGGACCGCAAAAACACAGCAGATGATAAGCGACCTTAGACATTTTATCATTCGCAGTAAAACGCAGATCACGAACCACGTCAGCTTGAGTACATTACGCGACTTGGAGAAAAGTATTCAGTAATAATCATAATTTTAATAACTCATCGGTCCGATAGAAGAACAAAGGATACGTGAGAAAAACACGAGTGGTGAAAATACTATAGTGAAGACCTGAAATATTACACACTTAAATTAATCTAAGGAAAAGGGTTATGCTTGAAATACAAATGAAAGGGTTTTGATTTTTTTGGAGGGAGGGATTGTCTGTTTGGACGTCAGTCAAACCGAGAATCGGTACCTTTGGTTTCCCTGCTTAGTTTAGTGGCGGTTCTATACTATATGATATTATTGTTGCTTTTATTTTATTTTTTTTTCCGTTAAAAGGTGTTGAAAGGGGTTTTATACTAATCAAATGATCTGAAATATGCTTATGAACTTTTCCTCTAGTCCCTCATTCAAACGCAAATCAGGAAGAAGCACAGGCAGCTTGACTTCTCTGATGTATCAGTCGCGTTGTTTTTTCTAGTAATTTTGCGAGTATTTATTCGATAATGGGCTTCGACTTCTTTTACCCCATTTAGCTTCATTCTATTTATTTATAACTTTTGTCGTCATTCCCTCTTCGCCTATCTGTGAACATTTATTAAATACATGTAAATATAATACACAGAAAAGACGTGATCTATTAAAAGTTCAATAATACAGCATCTGAGGGTATTCTGAAATCTGTGTAGTTTATGAATCGCATATGGAAAGAGTAAAAATAAAGTCATGATAGAAACAACAGGGGAAGATGACCTCAGATCCACTATTTAAACTCAAAAGAAGGTGACAAAGCAGCATCAGTCTTAAAACGTTAGATACTATACGTGAGGAAGGTCAATTAGGTGCAAAAAAGTCGTTTATTATTCCAGAATATATACTGTCTCTCTCAGATGGGATCTTCCTGAAAAGGGGTGGACTCCAATGTGTCTCTGCCTTGATGGGGAAATTAAGCCACATTTGTGTATTTTCCCCCCTTTTCAGATTTCCATAAGAGGGAAGATTGAGATCATCCTGGATTTTCTACCCTTCTGTATATATCTGTTTAGAGACATATAGATAGGTGTGCTCCCGAAGTACAACTAACAATAAGATTTCAGGCATGGCTAGTGCTAAAACGCGGTGAAACGACTCTTTAATTCTTATTCCATTCTCTTTTAAAATCCCGGTCTCCGTAGTTTCTTTTAGTTTCTGGACTCAGAGTGTAGTCCACCCATTTCCAAATCTGGGAGCGAAGCTTAGAAAAGACAGGAGCGATTGTTCTTCTTGTCTAGTGAGGGGTTTCACCGGAACCGAATACGTTGTAAATCAAAAATTGGCCCATATCGTGACCGGTCCCTCCGAAGCTAGGACCCAACCCAACTCCGAACGGCCCCGTCTACAACCACCCCCACCCCCATACATCCCCCACCCTCCTATTCTCTATCTTTATAGAGGCCTATATAGATATAGCTAACCAACCACCCATAGATCCTTCCATATCCCAGCCGATTCCCCCCTCCTGTTTCGCCTTGCTAGGCCCTACTTTGATTCGTTATGCTACGCCAACGGCTTGTGCGTGCGGTCCTTTTCGCGGGGGCCCGTGAGGCCCCTGGCCTTCGCGTCCTTTCGCCGCTCGCGCGCCCCGGGGCGGGGGGGAGGCCGGGATGGCGGGGGGTGGCCGCGGCCGAGTTCGCCGCGATCCGGGCCTACGGCGGCCTGC